TGTAATTATTTTCAAGTATGTTAATTGGTACACTACGATGGAAGCTTATAAAAACTATAATAAACTTTATATTGTTATCAGTAGTGTCACTACAGTAACCTTTAGAAAAGTTACAATGGTATAAACCTTGTATTGTTACCTGTAATGTCTCTACACGAACAATCAGAAAGTTAAAAAATATAGATTTTATTTTGAAAACTTCAAATGTATATACCATATACAACAAAAAATTACAGCAATAAATGCTTAAAAATATAATCTCCAAGCATCTCTAGTCTTATTCCAGGTTCCTGTAGAAAAGTTACAACAATACCAGACTAATATTACCTTCAAAAATTATAATATTGTCACTATGAATATTAATTGAAATACTACTTTCAAGTTATTTAATACTATAAATAAGAGCTAACAAGAAATAATAAAGTACACTAAAGTTTTCATACACTGAAGTAAACATATTCAACTTCATAGACTGAGAAACCAGAACTAATATAGCAGGATTAATATTGTTTACACTGATGTAAACTTATTCAACTTCACAAATGTAATGCCATAAAGCATAGACCGGACACAGGAGACAATTCACACAATGGAGCAATAACATTATTTAGATTATATGATGGATTAACAATTTAATATAAGAAAATGTGCAAATTGTAGTAATTTTCTTTAGTAGCGTATGCTGTATTACTATGTCTAGTTACAATAACATTAATTAAACACAGCAAAAACTTTAATCCTATTCTTTAAATTGTAATTCAGGTCTGCAATCTAGCATAATAGCTTGATTTGTTCATTCAGCTAAGATTAAGTTTGACTATGAAAGATACAGTTAAAGCATTAAGAGGCCCCAAAAAAAGGATCAAAGAGGAATTTTATTTTTTTTAATGTGCAAAGCTGCAAAGTGAGCAGTGTCCGTTGCAGAAAAAGAGCCTTACATTTGAGTTTAATAAGCCCTCAGGCTCACAGCTGAACTATCAGAGGGCAAAAAAAGGAAACTTCATAGTGTAGAGCAGAGATAAAATCACCTATCTTCTAAAAGCGAAACTTTGCTGTGAACTCGAGGACTCTAGAATCCACTGTTATCACACTATTCATAGTTAGAAAATGGACTAATCAAACTATCCCAGAGCAAATACCTTTTGAATATATGAGTGTATTACTTTAAATGAGAACTGGTGGAACACCTTGAATTAAACTGAAAAAAAAAATTGCAGCTTTGTAATGGTAAGTAGATAATGTTTTAAGCTAGGTTTAAAGAATATTTTTTGATGATATTTCTAAGCTAGCACCCTCTAGTGGTAATTTAAAATATCCTTTTGTTATTGAAATAAGCTTGCCATGGCAAATTAGACATTTTTTCAAGTTAGTTTCAAAGAATATTTTTCTACGATCTTTCTAATCCCCCCCACACACACAGGGAAATTTATGTATTTAATTTGATAACTCTCTAGTGGTATTTTTTTATATTTCACATTGTAGTATATGTGTTCTCTTAGAATAACATTTATAAGAACCTAGTTGGTAAATGTTTCATTATGCCAACTTCTTTCTCAAGCACGCACAACTGATCATGATAGAATAATATTATATTTTTGAATAAATTGTATTTGAAATAAATTTAGGAAACTAAGATAAATAATGTTATAGGTGAGCTTACAAAAACAAACCCATATAATCTACACTAGCTTTAATACAATAATCAAACAAAGCTGCCATGATTAGGTCTAGTTTTTATTACAAGATTTCTTATTTTTTATAGAAAATCAACATACAATATATTAGTGCATACCTTCTAAATGAAATATGTTAAATAGGAGCAGAATTGTACGAAATTTATGTTGAAAAATATTAACTAAAAATATTCAAATATATTATGGGCTAATTTCTTTTTACCGGAATATGTTTGTGATTAATTAAATATGGAATTAAGCCATTGAAGTTTGTAACAAATTTTGAATTGTTATTTAATGTCTTTATTCATATGTGGTCGTTTAACAAAGTGGCTTGTTCTTATGTAAACACTGCCTTTTTATCTGTGTACATTGTAGACTGTACCTCTGTTGCCTGTACTGATGAAACAAAAATTTAAATTTTAATAGAAAATAAAGTCAGTATTTTGGAAGAACGATAAATATAATACTAACACAGATAAGAACTTATGCAGTTTTGTCCTATATATGTAAACATATTTGAATATTAGCTCATTTTCGAAAACATAGTAAATGAGCATTCTATTTTTTAAGTTTAGTCACCACTGGAGGGAACTGAATTAGAGATATCTTCAAAATATATACTTTAAAACTACCTTTAAAAATAATATCTAGCTTTCTACAATAAGCTACTCCAATAAAAATAAAGAAAGGCATTTTATCAGTCACCACTAGAAGGAGCTGGATTAAAAATAAAAAACATCTACAATAATATACTTTAAACTAGCTTGAAAACAATAATGTCTAATTTGCTAAGACAAATCGCTCCAATTTCAGCTGCAATAACAAGTTTCTTATAAAGCAGTGTAATCACGGTTATTTAAATAATGATATTATCAGGCTAAGTTTCACTGAAATGCTAATATCTACTATTCTTCAAGCTGCCATTGTTGCAGGTTTTCTTGCAACTGCTGTTGTCTCTCTTCTTGTTTCTTTTCTTTTTCCTCCAACAACTGCTGTAATCTCTCTTCTTGTTTATTTTCTTGTTCTTCTTGTTTCTTTTCTTTTTCCTCCTACCACTGCTGTAATTTCTCTTCTCGTTCTTCTTGTTTACTTTGCTGTTCTTTTATTGCTGCCATCAAATCTACTAAGCTGTAGTTTGATTTGCCGCTTCTCGTTTCCATTTTTTTTGTCCCACTCTCTGACACCAATTTGTTACATCTCCGTTCGTTCGTTAATTAATTTTCCGTAAATCCGTTTCAACGAAACTTTAGCGACACAAGTCCTTTCTTAAATAAACTGGTTTATTCTTTCCGAATACAACTTTACCGATACACTTAATTTCAACAGTCACTCTATAATCAAATGCTATAACTCACGCCTCACGTGGCCAACAATATTTTGTCCACATACATTCAATTACTCATTGTAATGTTGTCCTGTCACGTTGTGAACGTCTTATATATACAAGACTAACAGATATCTAGTAAATGCTAGGGAATTCTTGAAGGAACAAAATATTTCTAGAAAGAGGTGGCGTGATACTAGTCACGTGACCTCGCTGACGCAACAGTATTATGCATCTTTAATGGTTGATATAGTATTATATTATTAAGAATAACCCTAAACAATTTTTACCTAATGTGCTGCTGAAATGATTGCAATTTATTTTGATATTTGTACTCCAGATGTAACTTTCTTATTTTTACATTCTATTTACAGTGAAGAAACAAATTATGTGACATTTTCATGTACCTTAGTTAGACACTTAGTCACAATATTTGAAAACGGAATTAGTTGTAGCTGACTGACATTGCCAACTAAATGACAGGACAAAAAACATTAAGAGTAGGTATTACTGAAAGCTACATTATTTTACATTCTGTTTCAAACAAAGTTTTCATTTATTGTTCAATTTCTTCAAAATGGTTAGTGTCTCATATTACGGTTGGTTAAGTTTAAAGATTAGGAGACTCAAGTTGATTCATATTAATAAATTTTTAGATAAACATTTAGAGGTGTTTTATTTGTTTCAGTAAATGAGTTACATATAGAGAAAATATCAATACAAAAAGTATACAGTAATGTTGTGTACATTCTACTGGTAATGAAAAATTTATTAACATAAAGTGTGGAAAATAAGAATAGCGCAATAGTACAGCTGACTGTGTTGCGATGTAAGCGCTCTCCTGCGCCAATATGTGCCATCATTGCCAATTGTGAATGGAAGGGTGTATGTTATTTAACTATTGGTAACGCTTTAATCGTTTGCTTCAGTCGTTTTTGTATTTTATTGTTTAGAGAATTTATTTTGTACAATAGTTTAAGCACATTTGAAAGCGTTAAAATAAAAGTGAAGTGTTGAATATCTAAGCGTTAGATTTCTAAGGTTAAGGTAAGGTTAACGTGATCTGAAGAGCCACTACAAAATAGCGCCCTCGTGAGGATGGGTTGTGTGTTAAGGACACCTTTGCCGAAGATATCCTCTTCAATTCGTGGATGTTGTGGATTTTCATTTGGTGTCGGACCTTTGAAGGCACGGAGATTAGTACACATTTCTGCAATGACTCCTAAAACATTAAATTTGGACAACATGAATCCAAATATAATTAAAATGGAGTATGCAGTTCGAGGGCCGTTGGTAATTAGAGCCACAGAAATTGAGAAAGAATTAGAAAAGGTGAGCATAGAAATCTGTATTAATTATTATTTGGTATTCATTGTTACTGTTAGACTTAAGAGAAAGAGTTAAACAGTGAAAAGTTATAATTATTAATACTGAATTGACAAACTAAGCTTTATAAGCATAATGAAAATTATTTTATATATAGAACATACTACATTCGGTTGTCTAAGGAAGAGCCAACTGTCTGGCAGCACCTGTTGCAACTTTTGCTTACTTGAGACTTGAAGGATGGCAACTGGTTAGCAGCCCACCACCACATTTGTTTTAATTGCTTCTACGTTCTAAGTACCATGTTTTAGAGAACACTGTACTAATCTATTAATCACATATAATAGATTAATGGGGCTTTTAATTAATTGATTAGCAAATACCACAATTTGTCCAGTTTTACAAGTGGATTGAAATAATGCAAGTAAATATTATGGTTTTCTAATCAATGATTTAATCCAACTGAGTTTGCTTTAATCAGTCATTTGCTAAATAGTTAGCAGCACTAACTTTTTGAAAGACACTTAATATGTTCTTTGTTTTTTAACATAAGACACTTTTTTTAATCAGCATATCACATTAAGCTTATCAGTTATTAAAGGTACACACACACAGCATTGTTCATTTTCTCATTAGGATTTTTAACTCGTATCCTCTTGTTCATTACTAAAGTAATGGAACTTGAAGCTATGGTGTAAGAACATTAGCTGCACTCCATATTTTAGAAACAACCAGTTTCTCATTGACATGTAACTTATAAGAGTAGAGATGTTCTGCACTATACAAACTGTTGAGTTGAGCTTTTACTTGCCACCAGATTCTTCAGAGTAGCCTCACACAAGACTCACCATTTGAAATTACTCATGATAATCAGTGAACACAGTCTATCACTAAATCACACTCCATTGATAGCAAAAGATAAGACTTTCTAAATACAGTAGGGAAATACTAATTGTAGTTAATTTATATGCACTGTTCCAAATCCACTTTTTAGTAACATTTAATAATTATTTATAGAATTATTATTAATTAACATACATCACAGATTACGTGTCAGTTAATTATTCTTAATATAAACTACCAAAATACAAATTAATAAAATAATATTTTTCAAATTAACCTAACTTAATAAATTAAGCATTGTAATATGTTAATTTTTAATATTTAGGATTTATGAACTTGTTCATTAGGAAACTTTATCATGCAAATAACAGGAGTGAAAATGTTGCCAGTTGATAAACATACAGTTACATTCTATGGACATTTCTGGAAGGTCATAAAACTTTTATGGTCTGGGCCTTTTTTTCAGGATCGATTGAATTACTGTAAACACACTGCTTTTCATAAGTTTAAGAAAGGCTATATTTCAATCACATCCTACCTATACATCAATCACAGATATAAAGTACAATGTAGAAGAAAATGTATGTCATGTTCTTTTTTTGTTACATTTTATAAAATGACTGATAATTACAAATTGTAATCCTGAAATAATACATTGATTTTTGTTATTATTTATGTTTACATTTATAAAATATCACATGGTTAAAAGGCTAGTATGACTGAATGATTCAGAAATATTGCTTTGTAAGCATTTTCCCCATGATAAGACTTGTGGGTTTGATATGTGCCAGTGCCTTTCACAGCTTCCACTGGGAAATTAAGGTGTGGTGTTACAAACATAATACACATTTAATATAAACTTACAGTGTATTTAACACTAAAAAATACAGTTATGCAAGTTATGAATTACTACATAACACTGTGTTGCACACACAATAAATCAACAAAAATAACTAATGTCTCATTGCATTTTATGTGCTTGAAAATGTTTTTAAGGTGATCATTTAACTGCATATTACATATAATTTGTTAATTATTATTTTTATATTTGGAGTAATTGTATATAACTGTATAGTTTTATTATTTTAATATTTCCTGTGGAATGCAAGCAAAGTGATAGGGCTGGGCTGTTTTGACTAAAACACTACTTTGCTCTACTTTATGATTTTACTGGACCCTAGACATATTTTTAAGTCAAGCTGGCCTGAATTCACTCTGCACCCTTTCACATTGTACTCACAAAACTGCTGATATATACAGGAATATTTAAGCAGAACTTTGCTTTTTTTGTTTTTATTGCATTTACCAAAGAATATCCCAGTTAGGGCAAGACTTTTGTGGGGATTTAATATAGAGGAAGAGAATTACAGTAGAGTTAGATCTACAAAATCATTAATCCTTTTTGGAACTGAATCATAATGTTTTAATGCTTTTATGTGTTGTTTGGTTTGAACATAGTTTATTTAAAAAATATTTTTATTTATTGTCAAATAGCTTCCAAAAACATATTGGAGCACCACTAACAATATGGCAATATGGTTACCAAAATAACTGCCAGAATGGTGTTCCAGTAAATTTCAGTAAGACCTGAGCACTATATATAAATAGTTTAGAAAAATGAATAAAGATATATGGATCCCCTAAAAAAAATTTTAGGAAAGCAGAAAGGACATGTGGGAACAGGTGGGAAAAATTTTTAACACAGTAAATCCTTTTTTGAATATGTTAAAGGGAAACATAATATTAAACTAGAGTTGGGCCTTTATAAGATGAAGATGGGAGAGTTCTGGTTGATGATTTCAAGATCTAAATGTTTTTTTCTCATCATTTTTTACTAGGGAAGATGAAGTGTAGATTCTAAATATGATTCTCCCTCCAAAGTATCATATAACCCATGAATAAAGTCAGGAATAAGCTAGAACCAGTAAGGTTCAAGATTGAATAAGTGAAGGAAAATAAGGTACTTGGGTCAAAAGATTGAATATTTGCCAGTGTGACACCAACTTTTAACGTGAGAGGTAATCAGTGTCCAAGTAATTAATAACTAATCGTTACTTCAGTGATTTGGAATTTACTATGGCCTCTAATTAAAGAAATTCCACAAAAGCATTTAGGCAAGTTTCATGGACTTAGAAGTCTCACATCTTACAAATTTGCTTTACTTGAAATTGTTAATCTGGAAAAAACTAATGTAGTGGATGTGATGTACTTGGACTTTCAGAAAGACTTTGATAAAGTGCCATATAAGAGTCTTCTTTTTAGAAAGATTGCATCCATTTGGAGAGGAGATAATTTATTGAAATAGATTGAGAATTAGTTGGGTGGCAGAAAGTTGTTATAAATCAGATGAAGCCACAATGGATTAATATCGCATCTGGTATACCTCAGGATTTTTTGGTAGGTCATTTGCTGTTTCTCATTTTCATTAATGATATGGATAGAAAAGGAATAATCAGTAAAGTGGTAAGTTTGCAGATGATACTAAATTGAACTAAGGATTCTGAAGTTTTGCAGACTGCAGTATTTGGTCAGTTGGCTAACACTTAGTAGATGCCTTTTAATCTTAATTAAAGCTGTAAGCGTAGTTGATTAAGAAAAAGATCTGGTAAAGTTTTAACAAGTTTTTTAAAGCTTTCTAGACAATATACAATAGCTAGTAGAAATGCAAACAAGATATTAAGTTGCATATGTTGAAATATTGAATACAAGTTGAAGAAGGTGATCACTTCATTCTGTAATGTGTTAGCTAAGCTCATTTGTAATATTGTGCTAAGTTGTGGTCACCTTATTTGAGAAAGGATGTTGAATTAATGGAAAGGGTTCAGAGTAGAGTTACCAGGAAAAGTCTAGGTTGCAGTGGGTTATACACCTACAGGGGATAAAATGAAAATTATTGAAATGTTTTTGCTTGGGAGAACATGATCAAGGCTTTTGGGTTGTTAGAGGTTTGGAATCCAGAACTCCAGATGATATTTTCATATTCTTAAAACATTTGCAGGCAGTATGACATGAAGACACAAATTTAAATTATGTAAATCTCAATCACAAAATCAGTTGAAGATGTGTTACCTTTCTAATAGAGTAGTCAGCCTATAAGATAGTTTGCCATCAATTGTTGTTTAAAGCTAGAAAATTGAAAGAAGTTAAAGAGCAGATTGCTTTAACGTAACACTGACCCTTAAAACTTGGCAAATTTACATGCTGAGGAAAGGCTGTCAGATACTTCTTATAATTTTCAAGTTGAGCACAAAACAAAAGTATTATGTCACAATCTCTTAAAAAATGTACACATTCAGTCATATAACTTATATGCATAATTGATGTAGCAGGGACAAAGAAATACATAACATAAACTGTTTTAACACCATAAGTTTACTTAGAAATGATTAAAAAATGAAAATTGATACACATGTTCTTTGTGAACATCCCCATAACTTGAGTTAAAGACTTTGCAAATTTTCTGCAATGTTACGAGCTATGGGCAATTAATTTTAATCAATGCCTTCATTAGTGGTAATTAGACTGATAACAAGACAATTGGTAAAGATTTGTGAATGAAAAAAATTCAAGCTATGAGGATGTTCACAAAGAGCATGTGTATTAATATTCACATCCATCTCAAGTGTTTAAAATTGAGCCTCCCCATATAATTTCTTAGTTCCACTCATGTTATCAAAGGCATTCTGAATATAAAAGTATACATCAATGGTGATGCCTTCATCTAGAAAGGTGATAAGACAAGAAAGCTCTTTTGTAAATCATGCAGAGACTCATTAATTTTTCTAAGTGACTGAGAATTGATTACACAACCTTGCTAACAACACAGATTAGACTAGTAGGCCTAGAATTTCCTGGATCCTTCCTTTTTTAAAGTAGGGAGCACATTGACAGTCTTCTAGTTATCATAAAACCATGTGGTATTCAAAATAACACCATTGTTCTTCAAAAACTGCTAAAGAATAATCTTACAACTATTCATGTATCAGGATATCTAAAATAAAAGTCAAAACTTTCATCTTTTATAATTTGAGAAATATATATAAGATAGTTAGATATTCATCTGAATGTTATTCGTTAAAAATAAAATTATGCTATTGAGTGCAATGCGAAATATAAGATTGCAATAAAAGGTAAGGTGTCAAAGGTGTTAGTTCATCCTTCATCTCAATCTGAAAGAAATTGCTGACATAATAGGAATCTGAGTATGAAATGCATGTGATGATATATGTGTGTGTGTGTGTGAATATATACATGTAGCTTGCTAAGATTTGTTTACCAGTAAGTATTAATATGCATACTTCTGTGAAAAACTCAGGATGTATCAGCTGATAAACATTCTGAATGACTTCCCAGATGAATTGATGTGAGTTGTTAGTTTGAATGTTGTTAGATATATGGATGTGAAGGGTTACAATTAACTGGTTGTGGTGACTGAATGGCGACTTTGATGGGTCAAATGGCTGAGCTCAAAGTACTGTCACATTTTATTTAATATTCTAATGAAAGTAAAGTGTGAAATGCATCTGAAGCTGCAGGATGTACAGTTTATTATTATTTTTTTTGTATTACGTAATTCATTGGAAAATTTCCAATTATATAAATGTAAGCATTCAGATAATGGAATGCCTTGAGATAAGGTATGGATACTTATCAAAATATTTATTGATTTATTGAAGTTTGTATATTAATTTCAATTAATTAAGGACCATCCTCTATCACATTTCATGACCTTTACTAGCTTGTGCTCTATGAAATATTAAATTACATATTGTTTGTTTAGTATTAGTTTGTGCATTAAGTACTGATTTGGAAATTAAAAACTTAATGTTGATAGTCATCACCTGTAATGCTTGAAGAGTAAAAAGTCTTTTGCCCTTCGCAAAGGTATAATATTGATCCAAATGGGCCAGTAAATATTTATAAGAAGTTTTTATTAACTGTACATGTATACATAAATATTTGTATACAGAGAGAGATGTTGACTTAACATCCTTACCAGCTTAATTTGATCGGTGGTTGTTATAAACAATATACTGGTTTTATAGTAATTTGCTTAATCTCTGTACAGATGTGCTCTTTTAAAAAATTCTTAATTATAAGTTTAATATTGAAAAATGATTCCATATTCTTAATAATCATTAAAAATATGCATTTTTAGTGTGTTGGTGTTGGAATGATGGCATATTATATGAAGTGTGTAAACTCTCTATACCATGAGCAAATTAGATTAAATTAATAAAAGTGTTGAGAAAACACATCTACATATCACATTTCAAAATTTAAGTAAAAATAATAGTTATAGATATTTCAACAGTTTGTTACTCAAAAACATTTTGTTATTAAAATTCCGTAACACGTATTTAGTGTAATTCACAAAGAAAAATGGAAACAAATTTCAAACTTACATTTCTGCATATCTCCGTGGAGTCTTGCTTGTAAAAATACATTTATTGATTTATTTTTAAGAATTTTTCTGTCCATCTTAAAGTATAGGTCTATATTTACTATGAAACTGTCATCCCTTGAGATTTCTTTCTCAGGATTTTATTTTTCTGTGGTTTTATTAGTACACCATCTCTTTCACACCATTTTATGACCTGACAGCATGTAATCTGAAAAACTGGTAATGAAACTCAGCTTTGAAAATAGCTACAGACAGAGTTTAAATACCATTGGATAGAGCAGATTTTAAAACTGTTTGAGTCAGTGTAAAGTGAATTAATATCAGACTTCTTTTTACCCCTTTTTCAGGGTATCAAAAAACCATTTTCTGAAGTTATAAAGGCAAACATTGGAGACTGCCAGGCTATGGGGCAGAAGCCCATTACATTCCTGCGTCAGGTGAGTAAGCTGTTTTGATAACTTTTGATATAAAGCATTTCATGAGTAGAAACATCAATTTTAAAGTCAAACGTTGCAGCTTACATTATAATGAAAAGTTAATCTATTCTGCAGGTGACAAATAGTGTTTCAATGTGTTCAAGTTGGAAATTTTATTTCTTCAAGCAGCTTGGCATATAGTGTTGTTGAGACCTGTCCAGTTGTTGTTGCTCAATAAATGTTAATATTGTCTTGTCCAAAGTTGAAGGTTGAAGCCCTTTTTTTACTGTTTATTCTGTCAGCATATTTGATATTTCAACAATAAGATTAGTGCTGTACTTTAGAATTTACATGATTAAGAAACTGAACTAAGGCTGTATAATAAAAATTCAACTCAAAATAGTAAACTGACAAACAATAATTTATAAGCATAATGAAAATTATCTTATGTAGAGAATATACTACATATTTCAACAGAAAAAGAAGACAGAGCAATGTTCTTTTGAAACATGCAGAAAGTTCCCTACATAAAATATTTTTCAATGTGTGCATTAGCCATTATTTGTCAATTTATTGTTATAGTAGCATAACCTACTTCCATACACAAGTATTGATATTTTCAACTCAAAGCTGATAAGAATATATATATAATTAAGAGATGATAAATGCATAGTTATTTCTTTTATTACCAGAAAAATTATTAAAATTTAAGTACTTTCTTTGACTTGTATGTATTAAAGTTTGCCTAATTATCATTCATCTACATGAATTATGTTTTTATGTTAATATTATGTTTATATTACGTGTTTTTATGTTAACGTTATGTTTATATTATGTGTTTTTATGTTAATGTTATACTCATATTATGTTAATTATGTTTTTAACATTTTGTTTGTTTGTTTGATTTGTCGTTAAGGTGTTAGATTTTTTTTTAACTGTTGATTCATGAACTTCCTTATGTTTTTAGTGAGAGTGCTAAACTGTTTGTTTGCCGGCTAGCTGAAATATGTAGTAAAGTTTTTCAAATTATTGTTCTACTACATCAGCTGCTTTGTGTTTGTATTGAAAAAACAGGTGCAGCCAAAAAAGGATTGAGCATGCAACTTAAAGGAATGAAATCAAAATTGGTGGCCAAACTGGTAGCAACACTTAAAGCATTGATAAGAATTTTACAGCAAATATTCGTTCATTAATTAGCTAGGCTGCATATTTTGTTTTTACCCACCATCATGCATGAAGTTGAACAAAAAACATGGCCTAGCTAACTAATGAATGAATATTTGCTGCAAACTTCTTATCAATGCTATAAGTGTAGCTACCAGTTTGGCCATCAATTTTGATTTAATTCCTTTAAGTCGCATGCTCAATCCTTTTTTGGCAACACCTTTTTTCACATCTAATGTGTTTTTGATTAGATATCTTGACTTTTTGTCAATAAACACCAATAAACCACAGCAAGTAAGGAAGTGGTACTCGATAGTAACCAACATTAGCTTTAGGTTTGCAACCCTATTATTTGGAAGAGGCCTATACTTTACAGAACTAATTAAATTCTTTAAAATGTATGGTGTTAGTTTTTCCTCTAAAAACAGCTGTCTTTAATTGGAAGAACAATAAACTAAAAACGGTCCACTTTTAATCTTAGATGGAACTGTGGTATAAATTTCAGGCTGATAGCTCATGTGACTTTTTGCAATGACATTCACAAAAAGTTGTGTCAAAATTGAGCTGTTTTTGTTGAATAACTTTGTACATATGGCTTATAATCAGACCAAATATGACACCTAATTGTAAGTTATAAACATCTATCAGTTTACCAAATTAGAAAAAAAATCCATCAAAGATATGTTTTTGTTTTATGTTTTTTATTTATCAAATAACTTTTTGTTGTGATTGTTGCGAAGAAAGAAAATAATTGCTAAACTATCACTCTTGTTAATAATACACAGTTTATCATGTGGGTTGTTTGGCCACATGACACATTACTGTGTGTCTTGATTTATGCATTGTTATACCTCTCTCAAGAATGTATATAAGTTGACAGTGTTAATAACTTCCTTAATAGTAATGCCATGGAAACTCAGATTAACAGTTTCTTGTCATCATTCCCATGCATTCGGTACAGCCATACCAAGCATCATTATTTATGCTCATTGCTTCAGCTAATATCATGTAACACAAAGCACACTTTAATTAGGATAATTTTAGAAAATATGAGCTTAAAAGTTGGCAATGAATAATAACTATCCACCCATATGATTCCTTGGAAAGCTTGAGCTAGAAACTGCTTATCTAGTTTGCGTGGCCTAACAAATATCTAGTCTACTTTCACCCTATCGTAGTTTTTCTGCTCTAAATCAGCCATCTTTAATCTCAAGAACAAAAAACTAAAAAGTTACTTTTAATGTTAGGTAAAACTATGGTAAAAATTTCAGACTGATAGCTCATGTGACTTAGCATGGGTGTACACAACAATTTTGTTCAAAGCTGAGCTGTTTTTGTTGAATAATTTTGCACATGTGGCTTATATTGAGACCAAATTTGACATATAATTGTAGATTGTAAATATCTATCAGTGTACCAAATTTGAAGAAAATCCTTCAAAGTATGTTTTTTATTAAATAAATTTTTGGTGGAAAGAAAAAATAGAAAGAAATTCAATCAAAATTAGAGATTTTATATCTTGTGTTTTTCATAATGGGTTGCCTTGGAATTTAGTATGTGAAGTAAGGATCCAATAGAGCACTTCTTCTAGGTATAGTTTGAATTACCACAGTCTAAGCAAAAAAATGTGGAAAATTGCTAAACTATCAATTCCTGTTAATAACACAGTTTGTCATGCTGGTTGTTTTCACTGCACAACACATTACTGAGTATCTTGATAATTTAGTTTACTCAGAAGTTAAATATTCTTTCAAATAACTTACTTTCAAAAAGATTTAACAGAAACAGTGATTGATAATAAAAACACCTATTAGAAGTATGAATAGCAAGATATATACATCTATTCTTGGTTAGAAGTACAAATAGTACTTGTTTTTCCTATTTTAAAATTTAATAATTAGATAACTAAGGAAATACAACCATGCAGTTTTAAACATCTTGTAGCCCAACTCAAACAGTATTTATTGTAATATATATTTTTTTCACTCCAGTGAGTAGTGTTACCCCATAAAATGGCAACTGTGCAAGAAAATGTTCAATGAGTTGTTTGGCTTGCAGAGACCAAGTCAGTGACTGTATGTTAAGGGTATCGTGTATCAAATGTTGCAGAGCTAAAATACAAGGATAATGGATGCCATTGTCACTGTAACTGTGATCATGTTGCAGCAAACATTAGACTGAAATTGAATATCAATTTGACATGCCGAGAGCTACTTATGGTACACAAATATAACTCTACGGCCATGTCAATAAAAACTGTTTAAGCTGGACTACAAGCATGGTTGTATTTCCTTAGTTGGTTAATTATTAAACATTATTGGAAAGATAATTTTGGACAACCCTGTATATATATATATATTTGTGATTAGAAGTGTGAATAGCAAACTGCATATATCTATATTAGGTCAATCTTTGTACTGTAATGGGCATATTGTGTATGTCAGTATCTATGTATGTAAATAAAATTCCTGCACCATCTTTTGAATGGCACAACAAACAAAAATCCATAAAAAATTTCACAAGTTGGGTATTAAAGGTTCAGGACTGTACGTGAGTTTGATTATATCTTTATTGATGTCATTTTTAAATGTAGTACCTGAGAAACTATTATTTTTAAATAAATGGTATCGCTTTTAATATATATATAAATATTACAGTTTACATCAGTAAAATTTCTGAAAATTTTGAGCTCTGTACATTGAATCATTTTGATGCAGTGAGTTGCATATGACTAAAGAGCACAATCCGAACACTTTTCTTGTGTGGTACTTCCCAGTAAAAAGTATTACAGTTTATATCAGTAAAATTTCTGAATATTTTGAGCTCTGTACATTGAATCATTTTGATGCAATGAGCTGCATATGATGAAAGAGCACAATCTGAACACTTTTCCTGAGTAGTACTTCCCAGTAAAAAAATTATTTTTTATAAAATGTTCACTTTTTCTAAATTTTTGAAATGAGATATGAATACTATGATTAGTAATTACTAGCACAAATAGTTGCCTGTAGGGTAGTGTTTCTTCTAGTTTTTCACAATTACTAGTTTAAAGTATAAAGGTCACATCTGTAGAAGTGTATGTCCTAAGCTACAACTCTATCTTACCAGGCAAATGTTTATTAACCCTAATGACTAGGAGGGAACAACTTAACCAAAGCTCCAGTTTTTTCATTGCCAATTGTCTATTTCTTTAGCTACCTGGTTCTTATGTTATTTTAACCACAATTTATTATCCCTGAATAATATCTAGTCATGCCAATTTCTGGAAATTTAAACACTGTGTATTTAGCGTCTAATTTATGAAATTGAAATTAGTACTATCTATTTGTCCTGGGGTTGAAAATTTGTTCTGCCTGGGTGTTAAACAGAACTGGCCTTCTTTTTTACATGTATTCACCATGTCCATTAAAAAGAATTTTGCATGTTTGTGTAATTGTTTTTCTTATAAAGGTTTTAGCCTTTGTGCAATTTTTATCAAACAATTACAGCTTTCTCTAGAAGTTAAGGAACAAACATGTTCCTGAAAATTGAATGTATTATCTCATTTTATTCTTTAACTATTTGATTGCTGTTTATTTTAATGGGATCTTTCTGAACTAAAAAAATCAAGTAAATCTATGAATTGCATGAAGAGTGTTTTAAATGTTCCAACTGTGTATTGTGGACAGAAACATAATACATTTGGAAGTTTCATGCATTTTGCATATATATCTGTTAATAATTATTTACTATTTTTATGCAGGTTTTGACACTGTGTGCATATCCGGATCTTTTAGAAAGTGACATATTTTCTTCTGATGTAAAGGAACGAGCTCAAACTATTCTTTCTCACTGTGGAGGCAAAAGTGTAGGTACGTGCAGTGGCAGCAAGTGTTTGTTTGTCATGTGATGATGGCAAAAGTGTGTATGGCACACTTTTCATGAACATTTATCAAAGCTAGTCTTAATATATCTTAGTTGGTCTATTACGAGTTTCTGGTGGAACTGCTGTAATTTCTCTTGTTTATTTTGCTGGTTGGAGGAAAAAGAAAAGAAACAAGAAGTACGAGAAAAGAAACAAGAAGAGAGATTACAGCAGTGTCAACTAGAACAAGAAAGGAAACAGGAAGAACAGCAACTACAGGAAAGTCAACAATAATGGCAAGAAGTACAAATGGAAAACATTAGTAAATTTAAAAGCGAGTTAGATACGTTAAAGGACGATTTATTGTCTTTTACACAAGGAGGATACATTAACCATCGACTTAACCAGCCCCAGATAATGACAAGCCCTATCCAGACCCTGCAGCTAAGCCCTAATGCAGGCATATTCAGTCCCGCTAGAAGTCACATCCCAGATATGAATGTCAGTAATAGGAGTGATTCAGTAAGAAGAAAGTCACAGGAATACGATGGGAAAGCACCGTGGGAAGCATATAGAGCACAGTTTGAGCTACTGGCAGAGGTGAATGGATGGACAAAGGAGCAGAAAGCAGTATATCTGGCAACGAGCTTGAAAGGACAACCACTGGAAATACTTGGACAGTTGTCAGCAGACGACAGGCACAACTATAGAGCACTATAGCGGCTCTAGAACACAGGTACGGAACCCAAAACCAGTCGGAAGTCTACAGGACCAGGTTCAGGACGAG